AGGCCCTGCACACCTTCCACAACGACATCCACGTGAGCTGAGGCAGGGCAGGGTGGGCCGAGAGCCATCCCGTGGAACCCATGGTCTCCCTGAACCGCGGGACTGCCCATGCCTGCCCTCTGGGCCTCAGTGTCCCCAGCTGCAAAATGGACCTGCTCAGCCATGGCCCTGATGGGAGAGAAGTAGTAGGGCCCAGTGACGAGCACGCCATGAGCTGCTCAGATTGTGCCCTCTGGTGTGGTGGAGTTGGGTGCTCCCAGCCCAGTCTTGGGGGTTGGGATGAAGCTGTGAGCAGCCAGAGGAGGGGCCCCTGGACAGTGCTGCAGGGCCTCCATTTAGGTCGGGGTGGTGTGGGCCAGCTATGAGCATGTCACCTGTTGGAGAGAGAGCACCAATACCCTCCTCCCTGGCCCACCCAGGTCTACCCCATCTGGCTGTGCCCGTTCATCCTGCCCAGCCAGCCTGGCCTGGTGCACCCCAAGGGAGATGAGACCGAGCTCTACGTGGACATTGGAGCTTACGGGGAGCCACGTGTGAAGCACTTTGAAGCCAGGTCCTGCATGAGGCAGTTGGAGAAGTTCGTCCGCAGCGTGCATGGGTGAGTGGCTCAGAGCGTGGCACAGTCCCTTTGGCCGCCCGCCCCAGGGGACTGCTGCAGGGGCGTGGGGGAAGGGCCCAGGCGGCCAGCTCTGGAGCGGGACCAGCTGGTCGCTGCGGGACTGTCACTCACTGAGGCGGCCATGCTTCGGGAAGTACCTGTGAAAGGTGAGGTGGGGGTGCCGGGCTCCTGCCCCTCTTCTCTCTGCATCTGCTCCTCGCCCTGGGGCAGATGATGGGGGTTTCCCATATGTTCAGGGACTGCCACTCCGGGTTAGAAAACCAAAGCTAAGCTAAGGAGGGAGGAATTCGTGACTGAAAGCTACACAGAGGCCTGGATCAGAGCAGTGCTCAGAAAACGGCCTGGAACAAGCTCCTGACCTACACAACACGGACAGACCTCAGAGTAACTGTGAAAGAAGCCAGGAAAAAGGAGTGCCGATGTTTCCATTTATATAAAATTCCAGATCCCTGGATGGTAGACAGCAATGACCCCTTGGGGCGGGGTGGGGGGAGTGTCATTCCCTCGACCGAGGTGATGGTTTCTAGTTTGTATACATAAGTCAGACTTAGCAAGTGGTACACTTTCAATATGCGCAGTTTATGGAACATCAGTGAAAAAGCGCAAAGAGCGCAGTCAGCGGCCTGTCAGGCAGCCCGTGTGGTGCACTGAGCACGGGGGAAGCCCGCAGTCCGAGTTCTGCTCCTCACTCTGCCTCCACTGCCAAGCCACTTAACACCCTGAGCCTCAATTTCCCATCTGCAAAATGGGGATTAGAATTCCCGCACCACCCTGCACTACTAGGTCATGAGATTAAACAAGGGAAATCCAAAAGTGCTTCCTGCCTGCAAAGTGCGCGCCTCAGAAGAGCGGTTGGGGTTCTCTCATCTATTTCCCCTCCCTGTCCCACTGCCATCGCCTCCCCGTCCTCACCCTCATCTCTGTTCTGCAGGTTCCAGATGCTGTACGCCGACTGCTACATGAACCGCGAGGAGTTCTGGGAGATGTTTGACGGCTCCCTGTACCACAAGCTGCGGGAGCAGCTCAATTGCCAGGACGCCTTCCCCGAGGTGTACGACAAGATCTGCAAGGCCGCCAGGCACTGAGCCGGAGCCCGCCCGCAAAGAGACACTGCCCCCGTGGCCAGCAGGCATCTTCCCTTCACTCAAACTTGGCTGCTCTCCCAGATCCACACTTTCAGAAGCAAACCCCTCCAGAAATCCCACGCAGACAGGCCCGACTGACCGCTCCCAGCTTCCAAGGGCCGCCCAGCAGAGTGGGAAGGACTTGGGATATGGAGTCAGGTAAACCTGAGTCCAATTCCCATTCAGCCACTTATTCGCTGTGTGACTCTGAGTGAGTCACTCAGCCCCTCTGATCCTGGCTCTTCATCTGTTGACAGAGGGTAACAGTATCGCCTACAGGCTGTGGTAGCTATCATTGCTTCCCATTCAGCATCACATCTGACTGAAGTGCTCCGGATTCAGTGGTTGAGTCCCGAGAGCTCCATGTTGGGTCACCTGGGCACAGGCGTGGCTGGAATGATGTAAGGTTGCCCTGGAGTTGTACCGCTATTGCTTCAGTCAGCTAGAATTGCTCCTCACGGGAGAAGGAAGGTTCCTCTCCATCCCTGGGGTCTCAGGAGGGCAACAGATGGGCGGGCAGGCCCAAGAAGTGCTGTGCCAAAGCCAGGTCCGATCCCAAAGTTTTCTCTGCCGTCCTTGGTGATCCTGCCCCTCCCTCCTTCACGCTCAGGCTTGCATGCCCCCCGGCCATCACCGAGTCTACTCCTAGTGGACTATGTCCCTGGGGAAGACATTTCAGGGTGAATCCTACCCCGGCCTAAGCCTGGGATTCCGGCCCAGGTGGAACGAGTGGCTTCTGCTCTGAATTGGATCCAGAGGGTCTGGGCTCATTCTCCGCTTCCCAGCCCCCCATGCCTCTTATCCTGAGCACCTGCTTAGTTGTGGGGGGTGCGTCTGTGTTACTCTGATATCGGGGTGGGGTGGACCACACTCGCAGGAAAGTGGAGCCCGCCATTGTTAGGTTCCATGTGGATCCTCACTGTGGGGCTGAAGGAATAGAACATCAACTTGATTTCTCCAACCACTCATCCCCTTTGTTTCTTTCTCCCCCCACCCCCAGCTGTAGTTAATTTCAGTGCCTTACAAATTCTAAGCTCAGAGAAAAGTTAGCTCCGTTTCCGTTCCAGAGGGAAGGGACCCTCCCTAGGTCCTCCCCCACGGACTAAAACTTGGTTGTTTATGCAACTCCATCTTAAGACCTGCCCAGCCTCAGCTAAAGACCCAGAATCTGAGGAGGAATTGTGCCCTGTGAGCGAAGCTGGAGCTGAGTGAGCCGTGCCAGGCAGTGACATCTGAGAGAGCTGAGTGCACACTGCAGCAGGAGTCGGGAGGCCTGGGTTTCAGCCCCTGGTGTATTGTCAGTGTGCTGTGCAGCTGTGGGCAAGTCCTTTGTTCCTCTGAACTAGTTTGTCCTCGTTCCCTGGGGGCCATTCTGCTATAGAAGTGCATGGCTCTCTCAGACCCCGTGGTTGCAAAAGCCATGGAAAGCCTCATTTGTGTGGAAAGTCAGAGGAAAAATAAATGAACAAGTAGACCCTTGGGGGTGGTCTGTCATTTACGGTCCTTCCTTCAGCCCAAGGCTGGCTCTCATCTCATTTTCAGAGAGGCTTGCAGGAAGTGTTGGTCTTGTCACTGTAGGTTGCCAGAGTCCTCAGAGTCACCCTTTGACTGACAGATGCTCACATACACACACACACCCGCCCCCCCAGGGCTTGGCACACTGCAAAGTACCTGAGCGTGGTCCTGTGAGTGCTGGGTGCACGCATGGCACTCAGAAGACAAAGGAACTCCCTTCCCCTTTGGCCTCTGGGAGGGGGCATAGGGAAAATATAAAAACCCCGTTCTCTAGCTTGTATGCAAAGCACGTGAATTCTGGCATTAGCATTTAGCGGGCCCATGTGCTCCAGGTTCAACTGATGATCCTACTTGCTGTAGAGGAATGGTTAACCTGGGCAGATTGACCCAACAGCTAAGGCTCGCCCATCATTTCACCAGTGAGACCTCCATCCATACGCCACTGGGAATGTGGCCAGAGATGCCGGCAGCCTCTGTTGTTTTTAGTCCCACAAACCAAATCCTGTCCACAGACCTCACCCGGAACTGGGGCTGGGCAGGGAAGGTCTTGGGATTGCACCAGCCTCATGTTAATGTTTTACTCCAATAACGTGTTGCCTGGAAAGGGCAGTCTTCCAAGCATGGTGAGCTACCAGCTTTCTTGTAGCCAGTCCACCACCGTCCGTGTGCTGGTTCCAGATGGCGTTGAACTTCGCACTGGGGGCCAGTGTGTAGAAAAAGGACAGGCCCCTCCCTCCAGGGCCGTGAGTTTCGTGGCTGCATGAAGGTTTCCCGTAAAATCACTTATAGCCAGTTTCTTAGGCTGGGCGGATGTATAATTGAATGTGGTGTTGCTAAAAGGGAGGTTGTGTGTGTGTGATATTTTTCCCTCCTTGGTCGCGGGGCGGAGGAGAGAGGCATGAGTCTCCCTGGCAGGCTCTCGCACGGCAGGCGCTGTGCCTACTACTGTCCAGAATACTTCGTGTCCCTGTGGCTGTGTGGCCGCCGCTTCTGTAAAAATAAAAGTGTGACCTGGAAAGTAGCCTTTGTTGTTTCTTGCTCTGGGGACCCCGATGTGGAGTCAGACCTGGCTCAAGTGCAGGCTCTGCCACCCACCAGGCCCGTTTCCCTCTGAACCTGCGTGCCCCTGAACGAGGACTGGGAGAACATAAGGGATGGGACATGTTCATTAGGGCAGTGGGCTCATGGCTGACTTTCTGTCCTTGTCACAATGTGAACTGGCGTGGGTGTTAATAGGACCTCCCATCCACCAGGTGGAGAGCAGACTGCAGGGGGAAGGGGGGGAGCAGGGGAGAGTCCAGGTGAGGCGATGGGCGACCAGATGGGGGGAGGAGGTATCTTTTTAAAAAAATATATACTAATTCTGAATCATTCTAAGCATGAGAATAGTTTTCTCAAGTTTTTCTTTTTTCCTTTATTTTTCCATCACCATTTATCCCCCCAGACCCTCTTTCACCTCACCTTCCTCTCCCTCCCTGCAGTCACCATACTGTTATCCATATCCATGAGTTCTTTCTCTTTTTTTATCTTTTTATTTGTCCTCACCTAAGGATATTTTCCACTGATTTTTAGAGAGTGTGGAAGGCAGGGGGAGAGACAGAGAAAAACATCAATATAAGAGAGACACATCAATTGGTTATCTCCCTCGGCCCATGGACTAAAGGGTTGTGGGTTCAATTCTGGTCAAGGGCATGTACAGCAGTTGCAAGCTCAATTCCCAATTGATGCTCCAACCACTGAGCCAACCCGGCTAGGACAGGGGGAGGGAGGAGTATCTTTTTTAAGGCACCAGACCTGGTTGTCAGGAGCTCTGGGCTACAGTCCTGGATTGGCCACCAGGTTGTGATCTAACAAATTTTGGCAAGTGAACCCTGTGAAAACTATTTCCTCGCCTGCAAAATGGATGGAGACGGAGTGCTCCTGCTGGGGACCTAGAGCTGCCTTATGACACACGCCACACTCCGCCGCCTCTTGGAATTTAATGAACAGGGAGTCGAGCACTTTGGCTGTAGAATAGAAGGGGTCCCAAAAGTGCCCACCGTATGCCACCCCTTCGGTCCATCTGCTGTCTGGCTCCCATGTCCATGTCACTGGCCAGTTTGAATTCTCAGGATAACTGAGCTCTCATATCAAAAGATACCTGGCTCCAGATGTCCCAGCAGACACTGTGACCCAGGGAGTTGTCTCCAACAGAAGTGATCCCACCACCACATCTCACCCCTCTCCCCGGCATCCCCAAGTGTCCTCTCTCCAAGACCCCTCCATCCCCACTTCCACCCTCCGATCCCCGGATTTGTCTTCAGTCCTTTGGGCCCTCTGGTCACCGCAGACTGTCCTTCACATGTGGCTTCAAGGAGTAGGATCCGAATTATAATCCACAGTGGTAAGGCACTTCCCCTTAGTAAAAGGTGTGATCCTTTCCCTTTAAAAAGAAAGAGGGGAAAAAGAAAATGAAACTGGTCCGTGGAAGGGAGTGGGCCCCCAATCCCGGGAGGGTGCCCACAGGGGACGAACCAGTACCGAGAGCCTACATTGGGTGAGGGGCCAAAATTGACCTCCGGAGCTTTTCTATCAAAGCAGCCTATTTCTAAGGAGGAGATCCCTCTACTTTGCATCCATTTCAGCTCATCAGAGCCCCCAAGTTGCTTTGTCAGAACTTCAAATACAGAATCCTAGCACCTGAAAGATCATTTAGCCCAACCCATCAGCCCGGAAACATGCTCAAGTGTCTACCCCCGCCAAAAATAAAGGAAGAAGATAGGTGAGAAAGAAGGAAGGAGGGAAGGGAGGGAAAGGAGGAAGAAGGGAAGGAAAGGAAGAGTGGGCAAAATGATGGCCTTGCCTTGGAGCTAAGGCCCTGCCTTTCCCTGGCGCCATGCTGTCTCCATGGTAATCACCAGACTTCTGTGTTCAATAATAAATGTGTCGTGGGGGTTGCAGGAAGCAGGAACTCTGTGCTGAACTTCCTAAGAGTCCCCATTTCCTGACTAACTTCCACCGTAGCAGCAGGCACAGGCCCAGGAGGTAAAAGGAAGTGATCAGGTGAGGGCAGGTGGGACGAGGACATGAAGATGGTCATGGTGAAGGCTGGCTTTGCCTTAGCCTCCCCTGTCTCTGCCTTAGCTTCCTGCTCTCATCCTCCAGAAAGTGGGGGAAAGTGTTCTTAATGAAGAGAGGTCTTGGGTCCCGTCTGCCCCCATCCTGCTTCTCACGCTGCCCTGTAACTGTAGAAAGGGGGCTGAGTGCCTTCCCCAGGAAGCTGGGAGCCACTGTGGGGCCGAACAGCTTCCTGGTTCTCTTTTGCAATGTCCCAGGAGGCAGGATTTGCCCGGCAGATAGTAAGTGCTCAACTAATTTTTGGAGACCACATGCACGAATGCCACTGACTAGCAGCAACTTTAGGAAAACATTTTCTCTCTCCGAATTCATTTGTCTCAACTGAAAAACACTGCAAGTAATACCTACCTTTTAAAGTTACTATGTTCAGTAAAGACATACAAAGTCATTATACAGCCCAGTGGTTGAGTGTCAACCTATGAACCAAGAGGTCATGGTTCAATTCCCGGTCAAGGCACATGCCCGGGTTGCAGGTTCGATCCCTAGTAGGAGTGTGCAGAAGGCAGCCAATCAATGATTTTTTTCTCACTATTGATGTTTCTATATCTCTCTCTCCCTCTTCTTTCCTCTCTGAAATCAATAAAAATATTTTTTAAAAGGGAAAGAAAATCACTGTACATTATAAATATATTCCAATTATAATTATTATTACAAAGAATGGATATTTATTACTTCAACCTCAGATTTCTGGACAAGGAACATGGAGTTAGTTTAAAATGCTAAAAAGGCAGTATGCATTTTGAAGTACTTAGGAGGAAGTATACTGATGTCTGCCATTTACTTTGAAATTTATCAAATTATAAGAGGAGTAATAGAAGGATAGAAGAATGAGCATGGATGAATGATTAGTAGATTAATAGATGAATAGGTATATGTCATAAAGCAAGAAGAATAAAACATTAATGATATAATCTAAGTGGCAGGCATAGGGGTACACTGTAAAATCATTTCAATTTTACTGTATGTTTGAAAAAATTCATAATAAGACGTCAGGTAAAAAAAAATTTAAGGAAAAATGAATTTCTCCCGAATTAAATGGGAGTTCCCAGGTTTTTTTTTCATGGAGCTACCCAGACGCTGGGCCATTTCATCAATGAATGCCCTGACTCATCCTTTGACACATATCCACTGAGCTCCTATACATGCCAGCTAGACGCTGGAGCCAGACAATAGAGAAGTTCTGTTCAGTAGGGACCATAAGCATATGAACAAATATTCTATATAATAAAGAGGTAATATGCTAATTAGACCGAACAGCCAAACGACTGTCTGGACGACCTTCCTGACAAAGTTGGGGCTGCGAGGGCCGAGCCCCTTGCACGCATTTCGTGCATCGGGCCTCTAGTTACAATATAATGGGGAAAGTGCTCCAACCAGGGAACTCACAAGAGACTGAGAATGGAAAAATCTTGGAAGCCTCATGTTTAAGCACAGTTGTGGGGGATGAATAGGAGTTTTCCAGAAACTAGGAGAAGGCTATCCCAAGAACAGATCACAGCGTGGCCAAAGGCTGAAGAGCAAGGGGGTAGTACAAAGCAAGGCCTGGCTGGAGCACAGAGAGCCCATGTCCACACAGACACAGGTGGCCAGATGGAATAAAAAGACCTGACTGGACGAGCCAGAAAGGTGAGCGGGTGGAAAACCTGTTCCATAGGGTCAGTCAGCCAAACGTATAAGCACAGCTCTAAGGAACGACAAACAAAGGGCCACCTTTCCCAGGCAAGGGGTTAAATCCCAGCTGCCCAGCTAGGCGCGGTTTGGCAGGAAGGAGGAGGTGAGGCTGGGAGTGAGGAGTGACAAAGATTAGCTGTAACTACGCATTCCAGAAGGTGACTTCGCCACTCTCCCACACATGCCCTCCCTTGCCTGACTGAAGACAGCAATTGTTCAAAGACATGTTGTGTCCTGCCAACCCACAGCCTCCCCCAAATGGGCCCAGGAGGAGAGAGGCTGAAGCACAGGTCGGAGTCAGAGCCGGCTCCTCGTCCCTGCCTGACCTCTGCTTGGCTGCAGGACCCTGGGCTTTCCCATCACCCCACCCCTCCGAGCCTCACTCACTCAGGTACAAATGGGAAGGTAGCACTGCCATCACCCTTGCCTTTCCTCAGCAGCTCCACAGCCCATGGCTGTCTGCACGCTCTCACCCACAGCTGCGCACACTGGACTGTGATCGCCGCCCTGGAGCCAAGGCAGGGATGCACAACCGCACAACACGGAGGCGCTGTGAGGACCCAGTGAGAGCACCTCCAGTCATCCAGTCCCCATTTGTTTTTGTTAATTCTGTGCTCCTGCTTTATTATTTATTTATTTATTTTTACAAATCAAGTGACAGAAAAATACTTGGAGGAAGTGGAGACAATGCAGAGTGAAAAGAAACCTACGGAAAACGCATTATCCTGAGATGAAAGGACATGCTGCATGCATGACACAGAGCAGGGTGCTATTAAAGGAGAAAGGAACACACAACAGGCCCTGGCTGGTATTGCTCAATGGTTAGAGTGGCAGTCTAGCTTACCGCATGTCCGCGGGTCCCTTTCCCGATCAAGGGCACATGGCCAGGGCGCATGTGGGAGGCAACCGATCTGTCTCTCTCTCACATCAATGTTTCTCTGTCTGTCTGTTTCTCTCTCTTTCACTCTCACTCTCCATCCCTCCCTCCCTCCCTCCCTCCCTCCCTAAAAATCAATGGAAAAAATTTCCTCAGGTGAGGATTAAAAAAACACACACACACAAGAGCTCTTGGGAATGAAAAAAGATGACAACACATAAAAAGGTAATAGTAAGGAAGAAAGATGAGGACAAAGAAAATTTACCAGAAAGTAGGAGAGAAAAGGTAGATAAGGCAAATAAAGGGGAAAGAGACAAGAAAATTACAGCGTCAAACCATTCATCTGAAAGAGAAGACAAAGGGGTAAATCGTCAAAGACAAAAACACAAAACTTCTCCCAGAATAGAAGGTCCTGCGTTTTCAGAAGGTAAGAACCCACGAAGTACCCAAAGCAATAAATGAAAACAGACTCACACTAAGACCCATGGCCATGAAATTTCAGAACAGGAGGGACAAAGAGAAGATCCTAAAAGGGTCCAGAGAGGAAGATGTAGGCTGCATACAAAGGGCAGAAAACCGGAATGGCACTGGAATTCTTAACAACCACACTTGAAACTCAAAGTCTTCAAAATTCCAAGGGAAAATTATTTCCAACCTAAAAGTTTATATCCAATCAAAGCATCAATCAGTTGCTCGGGTAAGGAATATAATTATTTTTCTGGAATGCAGTCTATCAAAAATGTTACCTCCCATTCCTTTTTCTAAGGAAGCCACCAAAACAAGGAAGCCACAGGACAACCTTGATACAAATAAACAATTAAAAGCTGTGTTCCCTTGAGCACAAGTTGGGGGAGGGCCCTGCCCACCCTAGAGTGAGCTCTGCTGGAGCTCCAGGGGCACTCACTGCAAGAACTTGTCCCGGGCTGGGTTTGAGGGATAGCGCTTGGCTCCGCCCATGAACAGGGACCGATATCGCTGCTGCTGGTCCTTGCTCTCCATCAGCCAGGTGTTGAGGTAGTAGCCCACACCTACAGGGTTCTGCACAGGGAGGGAGGCAGGCGGTGAGCAGGTGGATGCCTGGCCTGGAGACGTGATCCCAGGCTCCTCCCTACTGTCTTTATGATGGGATGACTTGTGTCCCCAAAAAAGATGTGGAAGCCTTAACCCCCAACTCCTCAGAGTGTGACCTTATGTGGAAATACTGTAGTTGCAGATGCAATTAGTTAAGATGAAGTTGCCCTGGAGTAGGGTGGGCTCTTAACCCAACGTGATAGGTGTCCGTGCAGAAGAAGAGACGGGGCGGGGGTAGGGGTAGGGAGAAGACGGCCATACAACACAGAGATTGGGGCGATACATCTACAAGCCAAGGAAGCCCAAGGATTGCTGGCCACCAAGGCGAGACAGAGGGAGGATTCCCCCAGCAGGTTTCAGAGGGAGCACAGCCCTGCTGACGCCTGGATTTCAGACCTCCGGCCTCCAGATCTGTGCGCGGATCAGTTCCTGCTGTTTTAAACCATCTAGTAGTTTGTGGTACTTTGTTATGGCAGCCCTAGGAAATGAAGATGCCACCACACCCAGAAACCTGAGTCGGCCGTACATACAAGACAGAGGTTCAGAGAGGAGGTCAACCTGCCCAGGGCGACTAGTGAGGGCAGAGCAACCTCCGGACAGGGACCCGCCACCCACAGAGAAGTGGCACCAAGGGTGAGCTGGGAGATGCTGGGAACCAAACCCTCGTCCAATGTGAAGCTGAACTTGCTGCCAACAAGAGAAAGGCCTGTCTCCTGGGGGAGCAGGCTCCCGGCCAGATGTGCGGGCGAGCTCAGCCTCTGGAACCCGGGCCCCCCTCCAGCCCCTCCCACTTCCGCCCTCCCTGTGGTAGCAGCATGGCCATTTGGCTCTTTTCTAAACATCTTATTTGGGGTGTCCGAGGGAAGACCCCCCTCCCTGTAGGAGATGCAGGCTGGCGGTGAGGAAAGGAAGGAGGAGGTGGGGAGGTGGGATGGCTGGCATGCTGCTGTCCTCGGGAGTGGAGCTCAGGTGTGGGATGGGGATGAGGCAATGGGAGCATAATGAGAAGACAAGTGAGTTACAAGCAGATGTTCCCAGGGAGACCAGGAGAGGCCTTAAAAGTATACAGCTGTTCAGCCCGCCGGCATGACTCAGTGGTTGAACATCGACCTATGAACCAGGAGATCATGGTTTGATTCCGGTCAGGACACATGCCCGGGTTGCGGGCTCGATCCCCAGTAGGGGGCATGCAGAAGGCAGACATTCAATGATTCTCATCGTTGATGTTTCTCTCTCTCTCTCTCTCTCTCTCTCTCTCTCTCTCTCTCTCTCTCTTCCCTCCTCTCTGAAATCAATAAAAATACATTTTTTAAAAAAAATACAGCTGTTCAAAACCAGGCACAACTAACCTGTGCTACAGGAAGTCAGGACAGGGGAAGATTACCTCACACATGTGGGGTTGGCTGCTTTTGGAGAGGGGGAAGATGGAAAAAGGGGGGACACTGGAGTCCTTACTCAACCAGGGAAGAGAAATGGGCCAATTCCACCAGTTGCCTCTGAGGCCTCAAGACAAATACAAGCGAGAAGGGAGGGCGCGCTCCCCTGAAAAAAGAAGAGAATGAGACAGTTCTGGGTGGTGTCCCTTAGCGCAGTGGTTCTCAAAGTGTAGTCCCTGGGGCAGCATCATCTGCATCACCGGGAACTTGTTAGAAGTGGAAATTCCCAGGCCCCGCCCCAGGCTCTGAATCAGGTGTTCTGGTGTGGGGCCCAGCAATCTGTGTTTTAACAAGCCCTCTACGGGATGCTAATGCCGCTCAGGTTTGAAAACTGATGTCTTAGAGAAATATGATAGTAGGAGTGGTTAGTCCCTGGGGGAGAAAAGGTGGGGGATAGGGCTCACTCAGAGCATCCATTCCCTGGGGCAGGAGGCTGGGGGCTGCTCATCACCCCCGCAGACACTCACCCAGCTCCCCAGAAGCATCTGGTTGCTCCTCCCGCTTGTCCGCTTGGAGGACAGCAGGAACGGTGGCTGGGTGCCCCGTTTGCATTCCTTCTCTGGAGGAAGCCACATGCCCGGCCCAGACGTGGCCTAGGGGTAAGGGATAAAGGCGGAAAGCTGGGGAGGTCTAGCCGTGGTCAGCCTGGAGCCAGGGCAGGTGCGGGCGCTTGATAGCCCTGGGCCTTGAGCCAAGGACAGTGGGAGACCAGCCACCTCCCAACTCACCAGGCGCCCACCTCCCAGGGGTGAAGGGCCCTATGGTGCCCTCATAAATCCATGCCACCCATACCAACCCCCACCCTCTAGCCTGACACCTCTTTCCAGGTTCCCAGGGTCCTCCAGGCCTGGGAGGGTCCAGAGAGATGACAGACCCCAGCCTGGGAGCAGAAGCCTCCAGACTTGGGAGCTCGATGAGTTGGGTCCACCCGGCTCCGTCTTGCCCTCGCTGGGGGAGCCTGGGCAAGCCCTCCCTATCTCTGGGGCTCCGTTTCCTTTTGGGAAATGCAAATGGAACTTCCTCCATGGGTGGAGATGCTGGAAGGTGCCAGGCCCAGAGCAGGCATTTGGGAAATGTCGGTACCCTTTTCCCTTCCCCAGACCCTGCTGGGGAGGGGGACCCAGCTAAAGTTGGGGACCTACTCAGATGACAGTCTGCCACCCCGCAGAGGGGAGCCCAAGACTCCCTCAGCGGGAACAGGCATGCAGTCCTGGTTGGGTAGAGCCCTTGTTCGCACCCTGCCCTGCCCTGGTGTCCCCCGCCCCCCCGCCCCGACCCGTGTTTTCTCTCCAGGGGAGGGGAAGTAGGGTGCAGATCCATGCCGGCCGGGCACTTTCTCGGACCAGGCTCCACCTATGGGCTCCAGTCCCTAACCTCATTTAGTGCTCACAGCCACCTGGTATGCTCCTGGTTAGATCAAGGTGCAAACCAAGGCTCAGAGAGCGAGAGGGGCTCACCCAGCGTGACTGGGAAGTACAAGACCAGGACTGGGAACCAGATGGGTCTGACACGAGGCTGAGCTCTCCCCCTGAGCCCCTGAAATAGCCACCGCACTGTACCCTGGCCCTCAGGAGTACTTTCCAAGAGAGTAAGGAGACACTGACTAGTTTTCGGGGACACTGGCTGAGGGTGCTCCAGTAAATCCTCTCCGAAGGGGTTGTTGGGTTGCGGGAAAGTTTCGAAAACATCCCACGCTTCTTATTGCAAGCAGCGTTAAGTTCTTCCATGAAGCTCTTAACATTCATCAGCTCACTGGGCTTTTTTTTCTGAGAAACAGAGAGGAGGGAAAGGTTATCTGCTAAGCCAGGGGAATCAAGGGTCCCTTTCTGGACCTTCCCCAGCAATCGGAGAAAAGCAAGTGGCCACCCAATGAGGCACCACTCCCCACCCACTGGAGGACACCCTGCGCCAGGCCCCAAGGCAGGTGAAGGCAGCCCCAGCTGGGGCGGGTCAGTCGGACAGTCTCTAGCACCCTTGCCCACAGGCCCACTTTGAGGATATCCATTCCTTCCTTCCTTCACTTGTTTCATGAACATTTTCTGAGTCTAATGGGGGAACACTGAGGACTTTGGGGCAGAGACCTACTCTGTATGATGCTATACTGGTGGGTACATATCATTATACATTTGTCCAAATGCACAGAATGTACACCACCGAGAAGCTAATGTCAGCAATGGACTTTGGGCCATGATGTGTCAATGCAGGCTCATCCTATATAATAAAAGGCTAATGTGCAAATCAACCAAAGAGCAGAACGACCAGTTGCTATGACACGCAGTGACCACCAGGGGGCAGATGCTCAGCACAGGACTGCTGGCATCGGTGGCTCAGTTCAGTGGCCATTTACCAACTGACCCAAAAGCATTCAACATTTCCCCACCCAGCCTCTTCCCAGCACCCCGGTGCCCTTTACACAGCACTCACCACCTGCTAACACTCTATCTTGTTTTTCACTCATGACTATGTTTCCATTTCCATTAGAATGTAACCGCCAAAGGGGCAGGTTTGCCCTGCACCTAGGCCATGACCTGGCCTAAATGTCCACACAGAGCGAATGCATAGTGGAGACAAAAAAATAGATAATTACACAAACACTGAAGTCCAGTAGCTATGAGCATCAAGAAAGCAAAGCACAGGGTGCGATGGATCTCACAACAGGGACTTGATGGGTACAGGAAAGGGAGGCTCAAGCTAAAATCCTTTTTTAAAAATGTATTTTTATTGATTTCAGAGAGGAAGAGAGAGAGAGAGAAACATCAATGATAAGAGAGAATCATCGATCAGCTTCCTCCTGCATGCCCCCTACTGGGGATCAAGCCACCCTGACCATGAATCGAACCTTGACCAGAAATCGAACCCTGACCAGGATCCTGGTTCATGGGTCGACACTCAACCCCTAGCCACACTGGCCAGGCTCGAGCTAAAATTATACCTCAGTTTCCCTTCCCAGCCCTCCAGTTCTCTGCCCAGTTAACAGCGTGCCACTAACCCAGCCAGCTTAGCTGGGTCTGTGATGCCCGGAAAGTAAGTGTGTCCAGAACAGCAGGACTCAGACCTGAGCTGTGGAAGTCCCTGCAGGCTTTGTGGCCTGTCTCCCATCCAGACGGCATTGCGGCCGTCGGCACTGCCTCTGTAACTCATGCCAGTGCAGAGGCGAGAGGACTGGCAGTGAAGTCAGACAGACGTGTGGGGGTTCAAATCCCAGCTCAGCACCTTACGGGTGGCCAGCCTCGGTTTCCTCATCTAGCACAGGGAGCCCTATCTCGCCCTGCTGGAGGGTGAAGTGACAGGATGTGGGAGGGACATGGTGCCCAGCACACGGTGGTGTTCCGGGGGCGGGGGGGGCGGGGCCGGTAGTGAGGCCTGTTATCCTGCTGGGGAAATCCGACCCCTGCAAGGTACACACCTGCACAGAGAAATGTCCGTAAGGTTGGGGCTTGCTTCGGTCGCCGGAGAAAGTGTCGTAGGGGCCGCGGGTGCCCATGGCGCGTGCCACGTATGCCTCTATGCCACTTTTGAAGGAGTAGGTGCATGGTGCCAGGCCACTGCCCTGGAACAGAGCACAGATGCCCGTCTCTTGGAGGGCTGCTGCAGCAGGCCCCTCACCTCCGGGGGTCTCAGGGCCCCCGTCTGCTCTGGAAGTCTGCTCCCAGGACTATGCAGGCAGGCGGCCAGGCTCGGCCAGGGGAGGGGGCTACCTCATGACCCAAGGGGTGCGGCTTGTTGGTCATCCGGCACATGAGGCCCTCGGAGTGAGACCGGTCCCAGGCCTTCTTCTCCAGCTTTGTGTATGGGTTGCCCTTCTCTCCATAATTCCCAGGGCCTGGATAGTAGTTCTGTGGGGAAAGGGGGAGACAGGAAGGCCATCAGTCCCACTCTTTGTGCTAAGCGCACCCGAGGAAGCGATGCCTCCAAGAGGGGAGCAGGATTTTCAGGGACCCTGGGTGCAACCGCCCCCCAACACACAGCACTGTTGACCTAGGAGCCTCCACCGCCAATCAGACCTTCGGTTCCACATTCAGACTCTTCGCCAGGGCCCTGCTGCCTCTCAGCTTATCTTCTGCTGCTCCTTTCTGACATCCCCACTTCAGCCTACGTGGGTCTTTGCTGGCCCCCAAACACATGCCATTCTGCCACCCCCCTTACCCGTGCTGACTTGTGCTGTGACTGCCACCCGGAATGCCCTTCCTGCCTTCTCTGCCTCGGAAAATTATTCTAATCCTGCAGAGCCAACTCAACTGTCCTCTCTCAGGAAGGAAGCCTTCCTTCCTGTCAGCCCAGACAGTCGCTTGCTTTGGTGGTCTCGGAAATTCCATCTATTACATCCACGTCACAGCCCTGCATTTGCATGCACGAGTTTCATACCGTACCGTGACCTGGATGGATCTGGAGTCCTGGGTTCAAATCTTGCCTCTGCTGCTTCCTAGCTGAGTGACGTTGGGCAGACCACTTAATCGTGCTGAGCTCCCTTTGTAACGTGGGAATACTAATACTTTCTTCCAGGGTAATGAGGATAAAATGTTTAAATGTCCATAAAGCGTCCGGCATGGTGCCCAGCCCATAGTGAGCACTGACGCATGGTAAGTCAGGGTGGGGTGGCTGTCGTGGAGGGGGTGAGAGGAGGTAAGAGAGGCTGAGACTTACGGCTGGAAGGCTAGAATGACCATTTGGGACCTTGACTGCCAAGGTCAGAAATAGTCTTTCGGCCGGCTGATGTGGCTCAGTGGTTGAGTGTTGACCCATGCACCAAAAGGTCACGGGTTTGACTCCCTGTCAGGGCCTGTGCCCGGGTTGCGGGCTCCATCCCCAGCAGGTGTGCAGGAGGCAGCCAATCAATGTTGATGTTTCCCTCTCATCGATGTTTCTCTCTCTCTTCCCCTCTCCCTTCCTCTCTCGCTAAAATCAATAAAAACATGTATATACTTTAAAATAAATATGTTCCTTGTAGGTGGAATGAGAAGAGCCATCCTGCAGTGTCATCGGGTGGGTGGGTGGAGGTCCTTGACCAGAGACCCAGAGGGATGTTCGTTGCTGTTCTGCATCTTTTAGCCACCAGGGGTCACCACTGCTCCATGATGGCTCAGCCCTTCCCACCTCTAGTCCCTAGAAGCCCTGGGGAAGCGGCCAGAACCAGGCAACCTGGCGGGATGAGAGGACGGGAGCTCGGCCGGGAGAGGCAGGCCTCTGAAGGCATCTGAGTCGTTTGCCCTCAGAGGAACACAACTCAATGCTGCCGGCTTCCAGGGCCTGGGTTCCGGTGTGTTCAGGAGGAAAGCCCCCAGGTAGGAAGCTGGGTCCTGCACCATGTGGTAGGTGTTGCACAAGCCTAACATCGTGGTCCTGGAGGCAACCCCTGAGACCAAATCAGTGCCGTCCGCAATTACAGATGGGGAACCCGCGTCTCAGAGAGGCAAGCCTGTGTCCCAGGTCCCACCCCCAGAAAGAGGCGGTGCAAGGGTTCCAACCCCCAAATCCATGACCTTTCTGAGGCTCTACTGCAGCGGTTCTCAACCTGTGGGTCGCGACCCCTTTGGCGGTCGAACGACCCTTTCACAGGGGTCGCCTAAGACCATCCTGCATATCAGATATTTACGTTACGATTCATAACAGTAGCAACATTACAGTTATGAAGTAGCAACGAAAATAATTTTATGGTTGGGTCACAACATGAGGAACTGTATTTAAAGGGCCAGAAGGTTGAGAACCACTGGTCTACTGTTTGCCAGGCACCATGTAGGCACTGGGCGGGAGGGCAGTGAGCGCCATATCGCGCTGGGACCTTGAAGGCGACCAACAGTTGTAAAAGGATGAGGCCACCGAGGCCTCCGCAGCCCAGTGCAGCACTCCATGGCAGCGCCCCACCCTTCCTTCAGGCTTTCAGGTCCAGAGGGGGTGGGTGGGAATGAGGAATTGGCACGTGTAAGACTTTTTTAGCCCCGGTCGGTTTGGCTCAGTGGATAGAGCACAGGCCCGGGACTGAAGCGTCCCGGGTTCCAGTCTGGTCTAGGACATGCACCTCAGTTGTAGGCTCCATCCCTGGCCCTGGGCAGGGCACATGCAGGAGGCAACCAATCCTCAGTGGGGCCTGAGGCTCATTAAGACCTGATTCTGAGGAGTGAGGGTGCATAGGAAGGTGCTGGCAATGTGGGAGACCAGGGAATCCATCAGAGGCTGCCCCTGGGTGGGGTGGAGCAGTGGTCTGCGCCAGGGCAGAGGCAGTAAGGATGGGAGGAGGAGGACAGGAGGCGAGAGCACAGACCCCATGACTACAGAGGATGGGGGTCTGGGTCCCGGCTCTGGCAGCTGGGTGGAACCGTTCCCTGGAAGAGCAGGCCTGGGGGAGAAGTTGACATGTGATGGGGATGGTAGGTGGGTGCAGAGTTTGAGGTGCCTGAGGGAGCCTGGGGTGGGGATCTGGAGCCATCTGCATGGAGCCTGGCTGAGGGGAAGAGATCACCCCAAAGTGGGGAGGGCTGGGGAAGAGGAGCCACGGAGGGAGGCTGGCGGAGGAACTTCAGGGCTGCAGAGCCCAATGTCCCCAAAGCCAAGAGCGGGGAGAATGCAGAGGGAAGGGTGGTGGCAGCACCCAGTGCCAGTGGGGACGGGGCTCAGAAACCAGAGGGGAAGACATGGCCTTTGCAGGGTTCAACAGCCCCATCCTCTGGTGGCGGTGGGGGAGTCATGGGACCCCAAAGCAGGCCCCTCAGCTTTGGCAGGTGGTGTTTATAGACCTGCGGTGGTGGGGAGACAAGAGTGGGGACCAGAGACCAGGGGAGGCCATCAGGTTCCCAGCCCAGGGCTCACAGCAAGGCCATGACCGAGGAAAGCAGGCCTTGTATGTGAGCTCCCCGCTGCCTTCACCCACCAGGGCAGTGACACCTCCTTGAACTTATTGTCCAAGGCTGAGCCTAGGAGAGCAACTCGGAGAAATCCTGCAGGGCCTGGCCAAGGTGACTGCGGGAGCAGATATGGGACCAGAGGGGAGGAGACTGCTGGGAGGGAGGGACACACCGTGGCATTGTCACTCTGTCTGGCCAACACTCACAGATGCCCTAGAGCAGTGGTTCTCAACCTTCTGGCCCTTTAAATACAGTTCCTCATGTTGTGACCCAACCATAAAATTATTTTCGTTGCTACTTCATCACTGTAATGTTGCTACTGTTATGAATCATAATGTAAATATCTGATATGCAGGATGGTCTTAGGCGACCCCTGTGAAAGGGTCGTTTGACCGCCAAAGGGGTCGCGACCCACAGGTTGAGAACCGCTGCCCTAGAGCTTGGGCTTGGGAACACAGGAAGGAAACACACAGTGTTGGATGTGTTCCCCAACTCCACTGCCATCAGCTGGGCTGGGCCCTGACATTAGACCCTGTCCTCCACAGTGACTCAAAGAACAAAATCCAAGTGAGCCATGCCTATGGGCACAGCGCAGCGGTTACGCATGGACACCTGAATTCAAATCCTGCTTCTGTCACTTAGTAGCTCTGTGGCCTTGGGCGGTTACTGAAACCCTCTGAACTCGTTTTCTCATCTAGAAAGTAGAGATGATGAGAGTGACTACTTCATAGGGCTGTTGTTAAAGTTAAATTAATTACTACACTGAAGTGCTTAGAACAGTGACAGGCCTGGGTAAGTGCTGTGTTAAGTGTCAGCTATTACTACTTTAGGTTTGAAGCTAGTGACTCATTTTTAAATGCCTGCAGGCAACCCCTCTCTACGTTGCAGTTACAGCATTTGAACCCGAAGATGCAGGTACGTGTCCTCTGAGCAAGGCAAGGAGTAATTTCCAGGCCTCAGAGAAGGCCTCCCAGTGATGAGGTGTAGGGGAAAGGGCCTGGGTGTAGGGTTGGACATTCCTGGCTTGCAGCTGTGCAGCCTGAGGCAAGTTGCTTGCCCTCTCTGAGCCTGCAGGGCCTCATTAGGAGTGAATGTAAAAAATGAGAATGTTTTAGAGCACCTGGTACTTAGGAGGCAGGCATGCACAGAGTCCACAGATACTTCTTGCGTGCCTACTATGTGCCAGGAACCGCTAGGACCTGGGAATCTGCAGCAGCTAGGTAGATGTGGCCCACCCTCAGGGGCTGAGTCCAGTGGGGAGAGGGGGAGACCAAACACACAATCACAATAGGGATGCTTAGGAAAGGGAGATGTCACCGAAGGGGGGCTCAGGTCAGACCTTGGAGCTGAGAGCTGAGGGATGAGTAGGAGTTTCTTAGGTGAAGGGCTAAAGGAAGAAGGGCATTTCTGGCAACAGGAAGAGCGGGAGCAAAGCCCTCATTGAAAGAGTATGGTGCATGTGAGGAGCTGGGAGAAGCCAAGAGTGTCCAGCACAGAGCATATGACGGCCAAGGGAGGCGAGGCACTCAGCAAACCGAGTACTCACTCAGTATGGTGTGACTCCTGCCTTCTCTCTCATGACCTTACTGAGCTTGAACCCCATTCAGTGTGCCCCCACCCCCACCACCACATGGGATGTTCATCCCGGCCCATAATGATACTACTGTGGCCCTTCT